AAGGTGCTGATGCCGTTCCAAATGTTACTCGTAATAGTCTCATATGTTGCAGTTCACTTTCCGGATGATCACGCCATACCAGACGTTGAAAGTTAGTATGTCTTTCTTCAACCTTTATCTGTCTATACATTTTAATTATATCAGACACAAGACATATAGGATAACGACGCCAACGTATTAAGAGATGACGCAAGTCAGCTTGAAGAGTGGGTCCTACTAATAAATCTTGATTTAAAGATACGCCATTTGTACCAGGACAACTTGCATCGAAAACAACTCTTACTTTTGTAGTGGTTCTATCCTCCCGCACCACTGCATGGTGCGGTAAATAGACTGCTTCAGGATCATCTTGTTCAGTTATTGGTACTTTCTCCATGTGTCCTAATTCTAGATATTCTGAAATGACTTCAGCGTATTTAATTTTTAAATTAGGATCCATTGATAATCTTTTTTCTAGTTGCAGAAATCTTTTAGTTGCAATAGTTTTAGAATTGCCATATTTACAACTGGGATCATCACTACGGAATGGAAGATTAACTATATATCTCCCTGAACTGTCCCGCTTCGTAGTATTTGTAAATATTTCTTCACATTTCTTTTCTTCCTCAGATAAATGTTTTTTAATATCTATATTGTTTTCAGCTTCCAATTCCCAAAATTTCCTTAATAAGTCATCTTCACTTACATGAGAAATATGCATACTAATCAGTGGCCTTTGTATATTATTTGTTTCATCTAAATTAACAGGGCCAGAAATAATCCAACCAAGCGTTGTTCGCTGAGCTATAGGTACACCTGGTGGACCTTTGATTACACCATCTAACAAGATCTGACTGTAAACATTAGCTCCGAGAAGAATATCGATTTTGTTTGGTGTATGAAATGATGGATCTGCCAGTTTGATATTTGAAAACTCCGACCACAGTTCTACAATAATTTGCCTCTCAGGGAGGATTGAAGTGAGTTTACTCAATACAAAAGCTTGAACCTTAAACGTAAAATTGGGATCATGAAGTGATTGTAATGAAACCGATACCATAGACTTAGAGGTCAATGAATGACCCTGATCACTTCCTAATCCTGTAATAACACTTTTGTGTGATATCTTCTTTAAGGTCAGCAATTGAATAGCAGATTCAGTAATAAAACTAGCTTGAGAACCTGGATCTATTAAACATCTCAGTGTGATACCATTACCTGATTTCGATTGTGCGCTAACTAATGCTGTTGCAAGTAAGACTTGACAGTTTGAGGTCGAAACACAGGCTGTGACACTAGTGGATTGATCTACAGACGATGATGTTGTTGCATGTGCAACGACATCTTGTTCAACCGATTGATTTACGATACCTGTAGTGTCGGTTGAATTGATATTGGTAACATTTTTTAAATGGAGTAGAGAATGATGCTTCCGTCTGCATAAACGGCAACGAGAGATTTGACGACAAGCATATACAGAGTGCCCTGAACATAAACAGTTAAAGCACAAACCCCTGGATTGGACGAATTCGCGTCTAGTGTTAGTTTCAGTTTTAGAAAACTTTTTACAATTTGCTAAACGATGACTTTCAGAACAGTAAGGACATATAAAATTGGCTGTGTGATATACTTTAGAACTATTATTAATAACATTACTTTTATGCACTACATTAGACTTATACAATTTTGTATCAATACATTCTAACGCTCTAAATCTAGTTTCTAGAAAGTCTTGGAACTGCTTCAAGGTAGGCAACTCATCTGAGAACTCGCTGATTTTAAGTTCCCATTGCTTGCGAGACTCCATATCTAATTTTTGACTTATAATGTAAATAACAAGCACGTCCCAGGTACTGATGTCTATTCCTAAATTGTTAAGCCCATGAAGACATTCATTAGTAGTATCTAGCAACTCCTTTAGTGTACTAGCTGATTCAGTACTGATGTTTTTTTGATTCATAAACCTTTTCAGAATACAGTTTGAAAGATATTTTTTATTATTATATCTTTTCTCCAATTGTTCCCAACAAATAGTATAATTATTATGAGTAATCGGTACATGACGTAGTAATTGCTCCGCTTCCCCAACTAATAATCCTTTCAAGTAATGTAGTTTTTGTACGTCATCTAAATGTTTATTATTGTGTACCAATGATACGAACAGATCTCTAAAACTAATCCATTCTGAATATTTGCCTGAGAACGGAGATATAGATATCTTGGGTAGCTTTAAATTGCAATTAAGATCTTTATTACTATTGTTTTGTTCGGAACAACTCGCACTTTTAGTACTAGACTGCCTTAAACTAGTCAACGCTTCCTTCAGTAGAAATTTGTATTCTATATATAACTCTTCAGTAGAATCATAGACGTTATTACATACGTAGGAACTAGCATTCAAATCTTTGTAGTTTGTATTTTGAATGAGTTTTGTATGTGTCGAACTAAACTGACGCCATAATTCTTCTAAAGCTTCCAATCTAGTACTAATATAATCTATAGAACGAAGTCGCTCCTTGGGTGCCTTTTTGAAGTTAGATTTTGCTCTACTAATTCTTTCACTTAAATCAAGCTGTACTTTTATATATGAATCCATTGTATAAGTTTAATTTTAAAGTTTTAATAATATCCAAAGTTTTTACAAGTAAATATTTATATGAAATGTTTAGAGTAAATTCCGTCTTCTCTAATTAGATAAATAAAATGTACTCACAGTTCACCAGCACTTATCACTTACAAACAATATGTTTAGTTCTTCTTTGATGTCCTTACGGCTGCAATACGACGATACAATGTTCAGCAACAACAATTGACGCTCGCTGACTTCGTGCAAAAATGCGATTTTAAATTTGTCGTTAATCCTCGATACTCCGACTCGATGGACCAAAAATATAGACGACGTACTCCAAAATGATACCACTTTAATAGTTCCACTAGTGTTTTTTTTATTTATTTACATAACAAAATTATAGTTACAAAAACATTACACACAGAGATACAAGAATGGTATGCTAAAATTCAAATCATTCTTTTTTCTTTTTTTAAATATACTATATGGCTTCTTTCCAGCCATGACCAACTATACTAACATTAAAGAGACATTTAATAAATTAATTTCTTTTTGTTTTTATTGCTTGTACCATAGAGAAAATAATTCTACTAAACGACAAAGTTATAAAAAAAAACCGGCGATATTTCGCAATCTTTAGACAGTTTATTATTGCCATATTTATTTTTTAACACATTTAATAAAAAATTCGCTAAATTCTGAACAAACAAATAAGTGATAACATTATCCTTTTAACTACGGCAGTCAAATAGATGCAAGAATGTTGAAGTGTGCTAGAACTTAAGTTGGTACTGAGTTTTGAATTCCCACTCAACATACCAAAAGTAAAAAAAAAATATAATGGTAAATAAGTGCCTAAAATTACTGTCTATATTTACAATCACAATTTTTTTATTGATTGTCTTTTTAATGGTACCTAATTAACTAATGCTGTATGCTAATTCTAACTATGTTAACCGGGGGGAAAGGGATTGTTAGTAATGGAGACTGAGAATCCCATTGCTAGCAATATACCCAACCAGGTCGACCTCCTCGCGGTTCTCCCTGGAAACTATCGTGGTTAATTCCTGATGAATTCATCATGATGGGCTAACTGGCCTGTTTTCGTTCTCATCTATCACCCTTCACTGGTGCTCCGCCAGCATATCCCGTTAGCGGGGTTACCATACCATTTTCATCCATAAAAAAAACTATGTTAGCTGGGGGGAAGGGATTGTTAATAATGGGGATTACCAGTCCCATTGCTAGCAATATACCCTATCAGATCGACCACCACGCAGTTCCCCCTGAAAACCATCGTGATTAATACTTGTTTCGTCACGATGGGCTAACTGACCTTCTTTTATGTTCACCTATCACCCTTCACTGGTGTCCAGTCAGTGTACACCGATAGCGCTGACGGGGTTACCATTCCATTATCATCCATTATAAAAAAAAAACTATTTTAGCTGTTATTCTAGTATTACCACCGATAAGATTAATTTCATATTTATAACATTATTATTTTTAATTACTTGTGAGAAAAATCTTTGAACTGTGAATCAATAGCTTATCTAATGTTTTGTTGATAAATAATACAATACGTTGTTATTAATTTAACCATTACATTTGATTCTCCGTCGTTATTTAAGAAAACTTAACAAAGCAGAATAAAGTAAGTTTTTCCCATTTTATCGCAATGCAATATTTATTGCACATTGTTTTCATGTAGCATACAAATATTAATATGTGTTAATAATCTGATAAAAACAAATGCCAATAATTTTTTTTTTAATATTTTAAGGGCTTTTACCTTCTTCAGGTATATCAGTCCTATTGTACCCTGAACTGATTTCTTAAACAAAACTTTATCTACCTTCCCTAGACGCGGAAAGAGGAGAATTAATGGGCATCAATAATTTACAGAGATGTTCAAAAATTTCTGGTTTAAGTTCAGCTAACATAGTTTGAATAAGACCAACATTCAATTTATTTAAGTTAAAGTGGCGCATGAATTCTTCTCTTTCTTTCGTGTTTACTATAAATACCAATCATATCATGCGGTTGATTCTTAAGCTAGGACACACTATTATAAGCCTGTATTTATTTATTTATAATATTTATTTATTTAAATAAATAAATATTATGAGGAACCAAGTAACAAACATCTGAGGCAAAAATCTATTGGCCTGAACGAGACTGGAATCTAATATTACATACTGGAGGAAGGGATTGTTAGTAATGGAGACTGAGAATCCCATTGCTAGCAATATACCCAATCAGGTCGACCTCTTCGCGGTTCCCCCTGGAAACTATCATGGTTAATTCCTGATGAATTCATCATGATGGGCTAACTGGCCTGTTTTCATTCTCATCTATCACGCTTCACTGGTGCTCCGCCAGCGTATCCCGTTAGCGCAGGCAGGGTTACCATACCATTTTGACCCATAAAAAAAAAATTAAATGTTATAGTAAGAAATAAAAAAAAATAATGATACTTTATAAGTAACCAATTTAAGTCAAGCGCTAGGGGCATAAAAAACTATTAAAAAGGGAAGCGGTATTTTTACCGATAAGAAGATAAGAACCGTTAACATATAATATTTACGATGCCATTTTTTTTGAGGAAACAAATATTTAACAATTGCTAATTGCCAATTAAACTAAATTTAGATATAATAATTAATTGCGTGTATTTTATATTTTAAGCTAATTATTTTAAAATGTTTTCCTACTACTATTACTAAACAGGTATACAAATATATTATGGAGTAACTAGAGGTTCAACAGCAAAGGAATACGATAGAGGCAGTGGTGGATTCAATTCTGACAGAGATACGAAGCGACAAAACTGAATGAGTCCCAAGTATAAGAAGTTGATTTAATTTGGCAATCTTTTTATTCAATTTATATTTATACATATAAGTGTTTTTGTTTATTTAGTTAAACACTTACAAGCTAAATTAGACTTAAATAAATATATATATATAGAATATAGATATGGGTAAGGGAAATAGAGGCGATTGCAGGCCCCTCAGAACCAGAAGCGGGCCGACCATTCCGCCCCCTGTTATTTCACCATTGTATATGAGTGACTTCGAAATAGTTAACATTATACAAAACTATTATATTTTTTGACATAGTCGCGTATCTGGAAGCAAGTCATGCTCACTATTATGTCCAGACTGGGGATGCGCGACTTTACTAATCCGACTTCTAATTATTCGAGTGAGCAAATCATTCGGGTTATTGAAATGATTTTCAAATCATTCGAATTATTCAAATGATTTTCAAATCATTTAGACTAATGTCGTCCTGTCGTGCGACTACTGTATTTACGTTTTTTTTATGGTCGTAGGTTGTTATCACCGACATAGTATTATAGTAGTAGAAGATGCGAGGAATGGACTTGGTAGTAGCAGATACAGGGAATTATTAGTTAGTAATTAGTAAAATAATTGCAATACGGAAATTAGTATTTTACTAATTTAGTAGTCGAATTATAAAACTAGTAATTACTAATTATTCGAATAATAAAATCATTTGGATTCGAGCATCGTTAGTCCAGACTGGAGGTGGCGTGGTGGGCCGAGTCGTTGGGCTCGCTTAAATCTTAAACGAGTGCTTCTTGTACAGACTGGTCCGTTCGAGAATAGTGCGACTGATTATCGATTTATTGATTGATTCTAGTTTTTATCTATACATAGATAAAAAATACAATCAATTGTAATATCTATGTATATGAAATTTATGACAGTCATTGTATCCATTCATATATTTTTTTACAAACTAATTATTTGTAAAAAAAAAGCGTAAACAACAAGAGTTTCTTGACCGTTTTTCTTAGCTGAAATTGGATTCCAAACAGATAGTTCCTGAAAAAAAAAAGCTATTTATAAATTCTTATAATTAAATTACGTGACTTATTTTATTTATTTCTTTTAGAAGCTATTTTTTCAATAGTTGACTCGGCAAACATTGTTTTCCACTTTTCTTAGCAATCGATTCTTTATCGTGGTGTCGCAAGAGGTGACTAAGGAAACTTAATTGTCAAGAGATAGATAGAAGAAAAGGAATTGTTAGTAATGGAGTCTAACAGCCCCAATGCTAGCAATATACCCTAACAAAATGACCTGCACGCGATCATTTAGGAATTTATTTCATGAAATACAATAGGAGAATCAATGTATTTACCTGCTTCTGAAATACCGCATACGGTATTCGTAGTAGCGGGCAAAAAGATAGTTAAGAAATAAATTGAATTACCTTCATTATTTATGTAAGTTATTGGCTTTATTTCGTAGTTCCATTGGTTCATTGCTTCATATTTAGGACGTCTGCTACTTCTGTAATATAATAATTATTGAAAAAAGTGTAGCAGTAAGTATCTTCGTCAATTCTAATTTTGATATTTTTTTATTTAAATCATAAGATTTACTTTCATGTAGGAGCCATATAAATATTTTAATGAATTAGATGTTATTTTTCGGAAGTCCATATCACTAGTTATTTGATTAGGATTATTTTGTTTAATTCCACATGTGTGTACACCACTATTATTACCAAAAATTTTACAACCCTCCATATTAAGCGTTATTCTCCGACGGCCATTTCACGTGATGATATTCACGTGAACAAAATGGCCGTCAGAATTAAACGAAATAATTCTAACCAAATAACAAGAGTTGTATAAATATTTTTATCCATTGAATTCACAGGTTTTCGTATTAAAATCTCACTTGTTCTGTGCACAATTTTCATTCTAAAATTAACATCATTATCATTATATGAGCCGTAAACTGTCCAATGCTGAACACAGACCTCCCTCTATACTATATGGGGGTTTACCACTAGTTTCTACGCTTGGCAGGCGAATTGGTAACTTTAGTTAAGCATTGGTGATGTTTTAAGAGGGACGCTGCTGCCCATCCCTCGACTATTACATTCCTTTACTCGCGTCTTCATTTATAAATACTTACTTACTTAGATTTTCTAGACAATCATCTAATATTTAATAAATCGCTATAAACAAGGGCGATGTTTCAGTAACTAAATAGGTAAGTGCGCGACATTTTATTTCATTTCTAGTATTCATTTTACATCAGACGAGGTGAACGTATGACCTTTTAACAGAGATTGATAAAATAATTGTTGTATTACTCATGTAAACAGCACACATGGAGGTATATGTGTTTTTTTTTAATGTATGAGAATGGAAAGGGAAGCACGCCTACACGCCTACAGATGCCAGACGAGGATGAAAGCAGGTTAGTTAGCCCATCGTCACGTACTCGTATTCCACAAGTAAGCGTGGAGATCGACCTGATAGCGTATATAATTATATTAACCAACGGAGTTGTAAAGCAATATATACAATATTGCTAGTAATGGGGTTGTTAGTCCCAAAAAACAATCCCTTTCCTAGGACTATGCTTTAATTCAATGTAAGAAAAAATTCATTACTATTTGTTTTTAAGTTGGTCAGAGTAAAGCAACACAAATAAAAAAGTAAAATCTAACATAAGCTTGTGCTCCACAAAAATAAACCGTCTTCCATTGTGGCAAAACTAGTTATTTTGTTTTAAAAACTTATTGAAAAGATTTTTATAAAATTTCTAATAAAAAAAAAGGAGTCAGACTCGCGCAATGAGAGTTCCGAACAAAAACATCAAGTTTAATTTTGTTTTGTGAAATAACTACAAATTTTATGGTATTCGCATTTTTTCCATTACTTACATTACTTACATTGCTACATGACTACATTGCTTCTTGCCAAATTTCATGATAAAGATTAAATAATTAAATAAATATTTTTATAAGATCATAAATTCATTAGTCTTCCAAATAATTATAAAAAAAAATAAACCACCGTCGACTAGTAGGTATATAAATTTCTAAACGGTCGCCGTGTACCTATCATACAATCAATAAATAATTGTTATAGACAACAATCATAATCATTAACGTATAATCGTTTCGTCATTAATGACAAACATATATATATATATATATATATATATATATATATATATATATATATATATATATATATATATATATATATATATATGTGTGTGTATGTAAAACAGTCCACTCATTTACGATTTCCACCGCCATATGTTTTAAGCATGAACCCGATATAACCAACCAACCTTGATACACAACGGCGCTTATTGTTGTAATGCAATAGCAAATATAAACAATTTATTGGAAACAAAATGCCATTATGACTTTACGACCGAAATACTATATTTTGTTTTCAAACTTGTAGCCAAATGAGCAATTAGGTACGTATTTGTGGTAATAATTTATTGTAAACAAATATTATAGAGACTTCGCAAACGATAACCTTATGTTTCGTTTTTTTTTTTTTTTTTTGAATTGGAAGCGAAATAAATGGACTAGTGTAAAGTTTGATGATATTTTCTATGAAAAATCGTCAACAATTTTAAAACAATTAGTTACTAAGCGTTCGTATGTTACGATTATCTGTGGTATTTATTTATTTATTTATTTAACACTTTATTGCACCAACATAACATGATTTGGTATACACTATACACTATGGTATTTGGCTGATGGCTTTCGCCAAAGTCACAATAAATAAAAAAAAAACACTATGGTATGAAAGGAATTCTAAATATGAATTTTGTTACGTACGCTCGGAACGCACCTCAACACAAAATGTCAAAATGTTCTGTCAGATTTGCGCTGTCTGCTATCGCTTTGCTTTTACAAAATTAATACGTATAATAAATCTGTTGTTTATAATAATAGCATTTAAATACTACACCCAATATAGAAACCCACAAAACACAACAGACTGGCGACGAGGATCGAAGATTAACTGGAACAGCAGCATTAATCGGTACACCTAAAGTGAAATGGCGGGACAGCCACGTGTTCAATAACCCAATTGTTCCTACATACATATCCTTCCTTCCAATCCAGGGGCTCCTTTCCCTGTGATGATAGCCCGCTTCACAAATTCCTGTATCCATTACAATGGAAGTACAATTTACGCAACTTATGGCGTCACTCGCCGAGACACTACGTACGGTGCAGAACCAACAAGCGCAGATGCAAACCATGTTTATGCAGCAACAGCAAACTACAAGTAATAACACAGTAAGTGGTATTGTTTTACAACCTTATGATGAACTCCACGAATCTTTTGGATCATACATACAAAGATTGAACAATTATATTAATCTTAAAGGGGTTACAAGCCCTGTTACAAAGTTGCAAATCTTCTTAAATTGTATTGGTGCTAAATATTACCAAGTCCTCAAAAATATTACTGCTCCAGATACACTGGAAAATAAAACATATGAACAACTTGTTGAGATATTAAAGAACCATATTGCACCAGAACCAGGAAAAGTTGCTCAACAACACAAATTCTGTTTAAGGATTCAAAATGAAAATGAATCTATCGCTAACTACGTAGCGGGACTAAAGGAAATAGGAGGAAAATGCAATTTTATCTGCAATTCATGTAAATCTACAACATTTGATACACATTTACGTGTACAATTCATACGAGGTCTTCGCAGTTCAGAAATTAAAGAAAGGTTATTACAAGAATCATCACAAACATCATTTGATGAAATAATAAGGATTGCAATGGCAATCGAAACATTCAAAAGTGAAACCCAACAAATGGGGCCAGATGTTCATATGCCCAATATTAATAAAATTTCACAAAAACCTATACCAAAAATTTACAAAAATACAGGTAAGAAAGGCAGCTGTTATAGATGTGGAAAATCAAACCACAAGGCAAATAAATGTTATTTGAAGAATAAATTATATTGTAAAAAGTGCAACCGAAAAGGACACATCCAATCAGTTTGCTTTAAGTCACAAAAACAAATTACTACAATTGAAGATGAAGAATATTCAAGTCAAGATGAAATTTATGAAATACATAAAATAGAAAACAGCGAAAAGGATGAAAAGTTTAAAATTACATTACAATTACATAGCAAAGAGAGACATACATGGGAATTGGATACAGGAGCCGCAGTCACCACCTGTTCTACAGAATATTATAATAAATATTTCAGTGATTTAAAACTAGAAAATTCAAAAATAAAATTGAGAACTTATACTGGTGAAATTATAAACCCAATAGGAATTTGTAACATAAAAATACAATACAAAAATAAGAAAATTACAGGAAGATTATTTGTTCTTAATAGGAAAGTCGACCCAGTAGTGGGAAGAGAATGGTTAAGAAAATTAGGAGTACGTTTGGAAATAAATAAAATAGAGATCGGGAAAAATGATATAACTGAAGAACAATACAAGAAAAATTTAGAAAAATTAATAGATCAATATAGAGAGATATTTTCAGAAGAAATTGGAGAAATAAAGAACTACACAGTGAAATTCAGTTTAAAAGAAAATGTTACACCAATTTTCATCAAGGCAAGACCAGTACCGTTTGCACTAAAAGAAAAAGTTGAAAACGAAATTGATCGATTAGAGAAGGCTGGGATATTAGAGAAAGTTACATATTCACAATGGGGAACGCCTGTAGTACCAGTCGTGAAGCAGAATGGCAGTGTACGGTTGTGTGCTGATTACAGAGCCACATTAAATAAAAATTTACTTGATGATAAGTACCCAATCCCAAGAGTGGAAGAAGTTTTCTCCAAACTAAGTGGTGGTAGATATTTCTGTACCTTGGATATAAATCAGGCATATTTACACATGAAAACTGACCCAGCCACAGCTGAAATGCAAGCCATCAGTACATGCAAAGGTACATTTAAAGTCAATAGACTAATGTTTGGTGTCAAAGACGCTCCAAATCAATGGCAAAGATACATGGATCAGACCCTCCAGGGACTACCAGGTACAGCCTGTTTCTTCGATGATATAGCTATTCAAGGACAGACATACATAGAATTATTAAAAAGAATACAAACTATCTTTCAAAAGTTAAAAGAGTGTGGACTACATTTAAATAAAAATGAATGCCAATTCTTGAAGAAATCTATTACATACTTGGGACATAAAATAAATGAGAACGGCTTGCATCCTACTGAAGAAAAAGTAAATGATATTAAGAATAGTCCACGTCCCACTGATGTATCTACATTAAGAACATTTCTGGGAATGGTTAATTATTACCAACAATTCATTCCTAATCTAGCTTCAAAACTAAATCCTCTATATACACTTCTACAGAAAAATATAAAATTTATATGGTCAAAAGAATGTGAAACTTCATTTCAAGAATTAAAGAAGGAAATATGTAGCGAAAAGGTACTTACACCCTTTCATACACACTTACCAATTACATTAGCTACTGATGCATCACCTGTTGGATTTGGTGCAGTGTTGTCACACATTATGCCAGATAATAAGGAGAGACCGATAGCATTTGCATCGAGATCACTTACCAGTGCAGAAAAAGGCTACAGCCAGCTGGATAAAGAGGCAGCAGCATTGATATGGGGTTTGAAAAAGTTCTTTCATTATTGCTATGGACGCAAGATTACATTAATAATTGACAATCAACCACTAGCAAGAATACTTCATCCGGAAAAGCCTATGCCTACAACTACCGCTGTAAGACTATTACACTATGCAAATTTTCTTGCTGGATTTGACTACAATATAAAAGTACGGAAGTCTACGGAACATGCAAATGCAGATTATTTCTCAAGGTTAGAACACCCTACAGTAAAATATAACCAACTAACAGATGATGATGTATTCTACTTGAATCAACTTACAGTACTACCAGTTACATTCCAGAAAATTAAAGAAGCTACAGCTAAAGATTTAGAATTACAGAAATTATATCAGGATATTCAATCAGGTACAAATTATACAAAAGGACTACATGAATTTTCTATACAAAGTAACTGCATTTTCTATGGAATAAGAATAGTCATTCCAAAACAATTACAACCTGCAATTCTACAAGAATTACATACAGCTCATACTGGTATTGTAAAAATGAAGGCACTAGCAAGAAGCTATGTCTGGTGGAAAAATATAGATGCAGATATAGAAAGAATGGTAAATGAATGTAAACCATGTTGTTTATTACAGAAAAATCCTACAAAAATACCTATACACAGTTGGGAATACCCAAAAGAACCATGGAGTAGAATTCACATTGATTATGCAGGACCATTTTTTTGATCAATATTTTCTGATTGTTGTGGATGCATACACCAAGTGGCTAGAAGTAATACCTACTACATCCATAACAACTACAGCTACTATTAAAATATTAAAAAACTTATTTACTACATTTGGACTACCTATAACTATAGTATCAGATAATGGAAGACAGTTCCGTTCAGAAGAAATGATGACATTTCTGAAAGAAAATGGAATTCAGTCCAAGTTTACAGCACCGTTTCATCCATCTACAAATGGACAGGCTGAAAGATATGTACAAACTTTTAAAAATAAAATTAAAAGCATGATCCATGAGAAAGGCACATTAATGGAAAAGTTATCAAGATTTTTGATGATGTACAGAAAAACTCCTAATAATACTACAGGATTAAGTCCAGCGGAAATGATGTTTAAAAGGTTATATAGAACAAAAATAGACTTAGTAAAAAGAGATCTAACTACAGAAATGAATATGAAACAAAATACAGAAGGATTTAATAAAATATATAGAGAAGGAGACAGAGTGCAGATTAGATTCTATGACAGTAATAAATGGAAAATTGGGAAAGTAATACAAAAGAAAGGAAAACTACACTACAATGTGGAAGTGGATGGAAAAATACATACAAGGCATATAGATCAGATAAGAAGAACTATGTGTACTCAAGGAAATGATGTTTCATACTTACCTTACTTACCTAAGTTGATAGCCACGCCAGCTGCGACATCTGTATCATCACCTGAAAAAGAAAGAAGATTGAATTATACACCTGATGGGAGAGAATACTTACCTGACTCACCTGTACTGGAAACTTCACCCTGCCATGAAACAGGAACGGAGAATAATAAGCCTGTTTCGAAAAGAAAATCTTTATTTATTCCAGGTTCTATTACAGAGAATGTGACACAGCCACAGCTCGCACCAGTAGCTACGCCGGCATCTCCGAGTGGTGTCGAGCAACCAGTTGTACTTCGCCGAAGTACGAGAATCAGAAAACCTACAAACAGATTGAACCTTTAAGTTACAACGTGGGGGAGTGTTACGTACGCTCGGAACGCACCTCAACACAAAATGTCAAAATGTTCTGTCAGATTTGCGCTGTCTGCTATCGCTTTGCTTTTACAAAATTAATACGTATAATAAATCTGTTGTTTATAATAATAGCATTTAAATACTACACCCAATATAGAAACCCACAAAACACAACAAATTTTAAAAATCATTCTAGAATGAGTATGACTACAAAGTAGAGAGATAATGGTGTAAATCTAAAATTAAACTAAATATTTTAATTTTTAATAATAAAACACTGACAATAAAAAGGAAATAGAAGCCAAATCTCCGTCGTTGTTTTTTCACATTTCCTTTTTATATGGACAAGGATACCTTAGCCAAACATTTAATGTTAACGTCGATCAGGCGATCAGAGATTTGTATAATCTCCCAGTCTCCACTCTCCAAGGTCTCATGGTTTCAATTCTAAGCATTACAAAAATAATCATTATACATTATCAGTCGAAAAAGAATTTATTCATATAGCGGGTTTCTTGTTCATCAGTTGTACGGATGCGAATATTATTCAAGCCTATAAAGTGTTCGATGTCACAGGAACTCCTTG